CACACCCGTGCCCACAGGGACGCCCTGGCCAAGGCCCTGTACTCGCGGCTCTTCGCCTGGCTCCTGAGGAGGACCAACACGCGGCTGGCCCCACCCGGGGAGGGAGGCAGCACGAACACCATCACTGTCGTGGACGTCTATGGTTTTGAGGTCACCCCTGGCGGTGGGGCCCAGGACAGGGTGCCCACTTCATCCTGATTATTTCTGGGGGCCCCAGCAGTGCCAGCTTCCCTGGGAGGGGCACTGGTGAACTACTGGCCTGCCGGGCCCGAAGAGGGTCCGTGAGTCAGCTGCACACTCCGTAGGGGCAGCCATTCTGCCCTGCTCGGGCCAGGCCTGACGTCACCTCTAGGGCAGCGGGAGATAAAGGCCTCAGGATGGGGCAGCCTGCGGCCTCACCTCCCATGCACCAAGGGCCCTCCAGTCACCCTGACTTCCACAAGCTCTCCACCCCTTTCCAGGGGGTCCTGCCTCCTCAGGGCAGGGAGGAGGGGCTAGAACAAGAGGCAGCCCCAGCCTGTTCACTGCCCGCCCCTCCAGTGTGTCCTTGGTGACCATGACAAGTGTGTGTGTGCCTGTGTGCATGTGTGCTCTTGTGTGTTTTAGAGCATGTCAACACCCTCTGTTCAAAGCTACCAGAAGTGGGGGCTCTGCTGGGGGAGCACACAGGAAGGAGTCTGTAATCCCTACAGGAGGAATATCGGAAGGCTTCTTGGAGGCGGCAGCCTGGAGCCCTGCTTATGAGGATGTGGGATTCTGATAGCCAGCAAGCTAGGTCGTAGGCAAAGGAGTCTTCCAGACCACAGGGTGTCTGTGGCTCGTGCTGAGGCTGAGGGCAGGGGTGTGGAATCCTAGAGGGAGGCCTGACTGTGGCCTTTGCACTTGACCCTGTAGGATGCACCCATTAGCCCTGGGGCACCCGCTCCTCCCTGAATGCTGGGGAGAATGCAGGCAGCCCTGTGGGAGGGGGATGAAGGCACCAGGTCTGTGTGCCCACCCCCCACCCTGCCCAGTGCCCTCATCTCAGGTAGGTGCCCACCTCACTGCCCACGTGCCCCCAGGCACTGCGGGTGAATGGCCTAGAGCAACTGTGCAACAACCTTGCCAGCGAGCGTCTGCAGCTCTTCTCCAGCCAGATGCTGCTGGCCCAGGAGGAGGTGAGGGGACACTCAGAACAGAGGCCATCTCTGCTAAAGGGCGGGCACTGCACTGAGAGCTCTACCCCGACGCCCGCTTGCTATGGGCTGTCTCAGTCCTTCTGAACCTGTTTTCTCATCTGTAACATGGGAAGGCCATCCCTGCTCTGGCTCAGATGAGGTCGCCCATGAATGTGGGTGGGCTCCACAAA